TCAGTTTGAGCTCCTGGATGTTCCCAGCATTTCCCTGTGTCACCTTTATTCCCCTACAATTACACAGCATCTGGATTAAATTTTCAGCCACTTCAGTACCAGAAATTCTGCTTTGCTTGCTGTGTGCTGGGGAGCTTGGGCAACAGAATCCCTCTCAAAGATGGATCCAGGAATAATTCCTTTGAGCAAAGTCTGCCACAGATCAGCTGCTGCTGCAGCAATGTGGGTCATGTCCTAAATAAGTGCTCCAGAGATGAACAGATTGTGTCTGGCACTTGCCTGCATTGTGGTTAGTGGGTTGTTTTTTCACAAGAAATTCCCTCCCTGATCATTTTGCAGTTGCTGAAATCGATGGCAACACCTACTGGCGCCACCCCTTCAACAGCCTGTTCCACCCCAAGCAGCTGGAGGAGTTCATCATCATGGACATCAACAGGGTCCATGAGAAGAAGAAAGGTGCTGGGGCAGGGGCTCGCTCAAACAAGGTGGGTTTCTGTGGTTAATTCACGTTTTGGGCCTCCTGCTCAGCTGAACTGATGGGCTGGGTGTGCCTGGCACAGTCTGGGTTGTCCTGGGTCTCACCACTGGCAGGAGCTTTCCTTGGGACCATTTGGTCTGGAAATGGCACAGGCAGGAGGTGAATTCCACTTCCAGGAATTCTGCTTGAAGAGTTTAAACTCTTCTTGTTACTGGGTGTTGAAATATTGACTTTGCAGCTTTAATGACCGCACTGGTTTTGTTGAAGCATTTCTTTTTCATCAGAATTAATGGAACTTCTCAGGTAAAAGTTAAAATAGGTGTTTATTTATAGAAACAGCCTTTAAGAATTCCTGGGAGTTGCCATGTCCTTACTTTTATTTAATGAGAAATGAGGAGTAGCAAGGGATGCATTGGATGTGATGCAGAAACACAAGTTTAATGACAAGTGGAGTTTAAATCAGTGCAGGTGTTGGAGTTAAGCTGGGTTTGGTTAAGGAATGTTTTATTTTCCATTCCCACAGCACACTCTGGCTGAAGCCTGGGTCAGGAAAACCTCAGAGCTGGACACAGATCACCAATATTTCTGCTGCACTCACCTGGGGCACATCCTGAACCCTGGCGACCTGGTCTTGGGGTCTGTTCTTCTTTTCTGAACTTTTATTAAATGATTCTTTAATGACTGAATTCATGTGCTGTCAAGAAAGTGTTGAACTGCTCTGATTTCAGAATGAAAGCAGCAAAAGGTGGGGAATTTCCTGGTCCTAACCCAGGAAATCTCTTTTCTAGAAGGAGTTTGCATGTAAGAATTGTAAGAAATAAGAGAGCTGATTGCCTTCAGAGTGCAGCTTGGAATCACAATTTAACCACAAATAAATGGGAAGGATTTTTAAAACACCAATTATTTGTTTGCTAATGAATATCATATACAGTGATAACAAATGTGAATTATTTGTAAGATTAGGCAATTTAGGTGATGCTTAGAAAGGTTTAAACATGAATGTTGTGAGCCCAGCAGAACCTCAGTGGGTGTTGAAGTTTGGATTCCAGAGGTTGGGAAGTGCCAACAGAGCAGGATTTGGGAACTGCAGCTGCTCAGCCATAGGAGAGCTGCACATGAATGTGGATTTTTATTTGTTTCCCTTCCTCTGGAAATATTTCTGTTCCTTAGGGGCTGCACCTTGCCCTGTGCTGCCCTTTAGCACAAACATCATACAATGAGGTCAGGGTTTTTATAAAGCAGAATAAAACCCCTGTTTCCATTTTAGCTTTGACTTGGCCAACTGCAACCTAAATGATGAATTTGCCAACAAGATGAACCCCCAGCACATCCCTGACGTGGTAAGAAAATCCCTTTCTCTGTCCAAAGTTCCTCCATTCCCCAGGCTGGGAGGGAGTGTGGTTTTACAGTGAGCAGTGCCTGAAGGAACAGAGGATGTTAACAGTGACATTTGAGCAGCATCTGATTTTAAAGGATTATTTCCTTAAATATTTGAGTGAGGTTAAATAACATATTTATTGGTTTTTTTTTTTTTTTCAAATTGCCATGATTAGCTAATACATTAATTGTTGATTTTATTCCAGTTTCAATCACTGGGTGCTGAATAAGAACTCCAGTATGTGCCTGTCCCTTCAGTACCATTTCCCAAGTGTTTGGACACATTTGAACCAACAAACTCCCTGTAAATTCAGTATAACACTGCTGAGTGGCAGCCCAGCTGGTTCTGGATGCCCAGCTGGGGATTTGGGAGCTGATTTGGGATTTTGGGAGGTGGAAAAAGGAGCTGCCTTTCCCCGCAGGTGCTGATCAAGAAGAGCTTTGACCGCTGCAAGCGGCAGCGCCGCAGGAACTGGAAGCTGAAGGAGCTGGAGAGGGACAGGGAAGCCTCAGACACAGATGATGAAAGGTTCAGTATCTGCTCCCCTTGTTCACTGACAAAGCAGCTTCTGAATTGTCAGGTTTTTGGCTGTTTGGAGGGCCTGGAAGGGCCCGGAGTGGCTTTGGGGTAGCCCGCGTATCAAAGGACGAGAAGAGGCTTCAGTTCTTCTTTCGGTTTTTATGTTTATTAATTGTTTATCTAAAAGATTTTCTTTCAGCCCGACAGAGGTCTGCTCAGCAGCCAGCCATGAGCACACTGTGCTGCCCTCCGGGCGGTCACCTATCTTTATACCCAAAGTTGTGTATACAATATTTATCATTTTTCCCCAATACCTTTCACCCTTATTGCCCGGTGCACTTTCAGTAATGACCAATGCCAAAGTGCCACCATCACCACAGAAGATGGAGGAGAAGAAGAAGAAGAAGAAGGACAGGACACGCCCCAATTCCTCCATCTTACTTCTCTAAACCCCCCTGTACAGAAATCCTAAACCCTGTGTCTCACCCTCTAATTAACCAATCCCTTCACCATTCACCCCGGTGAAACCCTCCTGTCCTCATACAGGTGTCGTCTCCCGTGTAGGATCAAAGTGCAGCCACCAGACACTTCTGGAACATTCCAGGACTCCCGAGCCCCCCAAGGGTGGTCTCGGTGACACCTCAGTCCTGAGATGCTGAGATCTCACACTGAATAACCTCCAGCTGAGAGGGAAAAAGGGAAAATGAGGGATAAATGAGTTGGGAATTAGTAGGTGAGGGTAAATCAGCGGTGGGTTGGAAATGCGGGGATGCTCTGGGGTTTTGTTCCTGTGATTTTACTTTGTTGCATGAATTTCCATAAATCCAAAGGAACAGGGAGTAAATACATCCCACATCTTTTACAGACAATACCAGGACTTCCTGGAAGATCTGGAAGAGGATGAGACCATCAGGAAAAATGTCAACATTTACAGAAGTAAGGCCTTTCTAACTCCTTCAGTGCATGTAATTAAATCATGTTTGAGGCAAAGCAATTTTACTGGAAATCTCTATTTACATTCCCCAAACTCCTCATGCCTGGAGAAATGCTGCAAAGTATTTCACAGATGTGTTTCACCTGGTGGGTTTTGTTTCCTTGCCTTTAAATGAAAAAGAACTTTCCTCCTGCACCCAAAATCTCTGCTGGGGGACGGATTTGATACAGAATTCAATTTTTTTCCATGAGGGGACTGAGGAGTTTTTTGTTTTGTGGTTTGTTGGTTGTTTTGGTGTTGTTGGTTTGATTTTTTTTTTTCCCCCCATTTTCCCTTGGGGTTGCTCTGGTGGTTTGGGGTTTGTTTTCTTTGCTTTAACTGATTTTTTGGGGGGTTTCTGTGTGTTGTTAGATGCAGATATTCCAGTGGAGAGTGACACAGATGATGATGGAGCTCCACGGATCAGCCTGGCTGAGATGCTGGAGGATCTCCACATTTCCCAGGATGCCACAGGAGGGGAGGGAGCAGAAATGCTGACAGAGTGAGGACAGTGCCTTGCACCCAATAAATATTCCCTGGGGAGCAAAAACTCCCCAGACCATCATTAACCATCACCAGGTTAATGGTTATTATTATATATATAATATATATATAATATATATATTATTATATATGTATTATATATATATTATATATATAATATATATATTTCCAGGGCCAGGAAAAGTGACAAAACTCCCATGCACCCCAAAATAATGGCCTGGAATTCATATTTTATGGTTGATATCCCAGAGAATCAGCCATTAAAGCTCAATTTCTGGTGGAAGCATTGCAATATGAATTCCACAAGTTCCTCCCATCCCTGAGGGATCTTTCCATGCAATTTCTGCAGTGGAGAAAATAAGGAAAGATGTCCAGAGGGAGAGATTTTATTGCAGTTTTCCTGGATTTTAGGTAGAGTCCCTACCTAGTGTTGCAGCTTTAATTTCTCACATGGGGAAGGTTTTCCCCATTTTTGGCACAATGGTTTGAAGCCTTTTATGACACTGGTAGATTATTCCATATATCCATATCTAGGGAAGCTCAAGACTAATTTCTGTTCCCTCACCCAAAGAAAACTTCCCTGCAAAGCCCTTGATCAGAAAGATTGGAAAATCCTGTGGAGTGTGATGAGTATTGAACTGTAACCCACGTCTGGATCAGTGGATTAAAAGCAACATGCACAGCAATGAATTAATAAACCAGCTATAAAGGATTAAAAACCTCTTGAGATGTTTTGATTCATTATTTTTTAGTTCATTTTAAATCCAGTTGCCCTCTGCAAGTCCAAAGAAGACAGAATAATGAAATTATTCTGTTGGTGGCAGGTGTTGGGGGGGTAATAAAATCTGGGTTTAAACTGTGCTGTTTCCATCCATCCTTTCCCTCCTCCCTGTTTTCCTTGCTGGGCTCTCCCAGGAATGTTGGATATTTGCTGTGCTGTTTATCCCTGCAGATTTCCCTCTTCCTTTCCCCCTTTCCTTGCTCTGCTGCCAGCTTGGAGAAGCTTCCATGGATCTTTTATCAGAAGATTTTGTGCTGCTGAAGCCTTGGATGCAAGGATTGCCTGGATTTCTGGGATTTCTTTGGCTGGAGCAGCTCCCCACAACCCAAGCTGGGTCTCTGTAGGTTCCCAAGCGCCCCTTTGGCAGCTCAGAGGGGTTTAGGGAGTGCCCAACAAATTCAATATTCACCAGTATTTCAGTTAACAAAGTATTCATTGTCATGGATGGAAGCTGCCTCTGGCCCTGCAGCTCTTCCTGAAAATCTCGGAGTTAAGCCACAAAAAGCTCCTTTTGTACAACAGGAATCCTTCAGGGTTTTAACCAGAGCTGCTCAATGGTGCATTTCCACCCAGAGGCTGATGGATTTTGAGTTGGAAGTCATGGGAGAAGCTGTGCAGAATGTTGGAATTACGTCTTGCTCAGAGAAAATGGTGAAAAAATGTGTTTTTTAAGTCAGAGCTTACAGCACAAAAGTTGGATAACTGAGGGGGGAAATGAACAGAAAAAAAAAAGGGATTGGAATGTGCAAACACTCATTTTTGATTTATTTTTCCCTAGATAAAAGTCTTGTGTGTTGATGATGAAAAGCTTAAGGTGATGGTTTCACCTTTAACTGCTTTAAAAATCTGTTTGTGGATGGCCTGATGTAACTCCAGGGGTTCCAGATTTTCCCAGATGGAAATGGCTGAGGTGAAATATTGATGGGAAATCACTTCTGACCTCAGGCCAGGTGCCTGAGCTTGGCTGCACTCCAGGGACAGCTCCTGGGCCAATTTTGGGAGCTTGCAAGCTGAGGAATTGGGACAAAATCAGTGTTATTTCACTCTCTTACTCCTGGAAGTGGCTTAAAATAGGGAATCCCAGAGGAATATTGTGTCAGGGAGTTTTCCACAAAAAGTTGGACAAGGGTACAATCCAAATTCTGTTGGATTTTTGGGATTTGGAATCATTTCTCTGGAATGCCAATGGGAAGAGTCTGGCTCCGTTTCCACCCTGGGACCGACTGAGATGGATCCAAGCCCATTTCTTCCCTGTTCTCCTGCAGGAATATCCATGGAAAAATCGGGATGTGCTGAACGTGAGAGTCCACCTGGTGTCACTGTTCCTGCACCCGGAGCAGGTGAAAGGAGTGAGAATTGGAAATCCAGAGGGATTTGGGAAT